GTGGCCAGTAACATATCCAGACAAAATCATTTCCCTTGTCATCCGCTCCCAGCTTCTGGCAGCTAGAGGCCGAGGCCACTCAGAGCATGGGGCTGCAGTCCTGATCATCACTGGCTAATAGCCATCGATGGACCTATCCCATAGGAAATTATCCAATTGTTTTCTGAACCCAGTTATAGTTTTGACCTTCACAACATCCCCTGGCAAGGAGTTCCACAGGTTGAGTGTGCATTGTGTGAAATAGATTCATATAAAGGCTCATTTTCTCCTGGTGAGTGGTTATGAACTGGGTCACATCCCCTCCTACTTGTGCAGATTATAGAGTCTCTGGCTTTTCCAAATGCTGTGGGACGAGTTCCTGAGAGAGTGCAGGGGATGAGAGAGCAGGAGGGGAACAGCAGAGAGAGTGAAGGCAAGAAATACGGGGGAAGGGGAGAGAAAGGGATCAGGAGCACAAAGAAACACTCAGTGGCTGAAGCCAGGAGGTTGTCCCAACTCAATCCTGCTCATCACAGGTGTTCAGCAAGAGGGGAAGTAGCAGATTTTCTATGGCATTTTTGCCTGACCCATTTGAATGGTTAATTCTTGCACTGATTGCCAATTGATCCTAACTAATAAGCTGAGGATAGTAGGATTCTTGTCTCGGGTTCAGGCTACACAGCTCACTATCAGGCTACACACCTTCCAGGGGTACGGCGAGGATGCTAACACTGAGGGCAAAGCAAAGCCATAGTGATTTTTATTAGAATCAGTATAAAAGACAGAAAAGCTCCAAACCACAGGCATAGACAGCAAGAATCCAGGATTGGGGATATCGGTGGTGTCATTGTTTGCATATGAACTTGGACTTACGTACTCACACCCTTCCTTGAGGACCTGGCGGTGAGAGACAAAGGCCTGCCCAACGGTCCAGGTTCCTCAATGCCCAAGATTGATGGTAGCTAACAATAGAGCTGAAAGGTCAGAGGATGCAAAGCAAACACCCTCAACACGGTGGTTTGCCCTGTTATAGGGCCTGAGCGTGGCCATGAATATTCATTCTCGTGCCCAGCCTTCCACATCCAAATCTAACTTCCTCCCCCTCACAATACTGGGGTGCACCTAGCCGATAGGTTAACATATTGATGCTGTTTAACTCATTATCACCCACACCACCTATTGCTCAGACAAGTTGGTGGTTTGACATCTGCCAACGATTCTATCCTAAAATGTCCAAGCCCAGGGTCACGTCAATGTTCCTGTCTGGTACTGACAGTTCCCAACTCCTGCTATGGAGCAAGCTATTCCTAGTTCCCCTAAATCTGAGGGTAGCTGTCAGGCCATGTATCTGTGCCAAGAGTCACAGGCCTACCACACTTCCGCTAACTTGCTGAAGCTAACGTTTTACAGCTGATACAGGCCTGTAAGTGCCCCCTGTTCCTGTTCAATATAATAAAGATTAAATTATAGGCTACAGCGTAACAGTCTGAACTTTGCTTCTAGCAATCTGAGTTCAACTAGCAGTGGGATCTCAATATACCTGAGTCTTTGCTCTCCCCCCTTTCTATTATTATTTTGAAATGTTTGGCTTAACCGTGATCTTCTGCTTACCTTTATATTTCCACTTTCTCCCCATCATGCATGAGCAGGATACAAACACCTCCGACAGCTGGAATTATAACACGGAAGACAAGTATCAGGGGGTAGCCGTGTTAGTCTGTAGCCACAAAAACAACAAGGAGTCTGGTGGCACCTTAAAGACTAACCGTTTTATTTGGGCATAAGCTTTTGTGGGTAAAAATCCCACTTCTTCATATGCATGGAGTCACCTGAAGATGCATGCAGTCATGGCTTTTTACCCACGATCTATCTGTTAGTCTTTAAGGTGCCACCAGACTCCTCGTGACTGAAGAGAAGGAAATACAGATGCATGTCCCCACGGTTTCTGATTTTCTCAAATGGCACATGTAGAGTCCTGTAAATCTGCGGCTATCTGGGGCAGAGCGGGCAGTGGGGCAGGAAGTCTCTGGGGAGAAGTGGAGGATGGTTGGTGGTCAGGGGTTTGGGACAACCCCACGTCACTGGTGCATGGTGAAGCCCTGCAAATCTGCGGACAATTTTTGCAGATTGTGGATACGAATTGTGTATCTGCGCAGGGCTCTAGACACAAGGATGACTCCTACTGCTCCCTCTCTAGCCCTGTTCCTTGCGATCCCCTCACTGTGTCTTTAATGACTTGCTGGAATTTGGGACATAAATCCTCTGACACTTGTGTTGACAATGTGATTAGAGCACAATGTGACTGAAATTAAACCAATTCCAAACAAGGAAAAAACACATCGCTGCATTGGCCGGGAATCGAACCCGGGTCAACTGCTTGGAAGGCAGCTATGCTCACCACTATACCACCAATGCATCTGGCAAAATGCATTCTCCCAGGTGTCACATGTACTAGCAAAATGACGCACTCCTGCAAAGCTAGTGAGCAAGATGAATGGGAAGGCGGCAACCTGTCAGCTCTAAGCAGAGAGAGGCTCCCAGAGTGGCTGAAATGTGGAGAGGGAGGTGCTACATCCCAGGGTGAGGGGTCACCCACTCCTCCCCTCCAAGAATGGAAATGAACATAAATCACCAGAATGACAAACCTTAGTGGAGACAGCTCCTTTGAAAGTAAACGTTTGTGTGAGTTCTCGCTGTGTACAGCGGGGTTCGTTGCTGCTGCTGATTCCAGTCTGTGGGGTTGTCAGTCAGGTTGTCTGTCACCTTCTCTGGGTGTGTGGTACATGTGGCAGCCCCCGCTCCTGGGGAAATAAAGTTTTTGTGCAAAATAACAAAACTTTTCACCGAAAGGAGGGAAAGGAAATGGCCCCACGAAAGCGCCAGGACATAAGGAATGTAACAACAGGATTCCTCTAGGCGTGACTCTGACGAATGATTGATCTCCCCTCATTTGTATTTGAAGAGCTGTTTAGTTTTACCCTTGGTAACCTACAAGTCTGATACAATTGTATCGATTGTGACACTAGGGTTGAAGGATTAAATCATATTATGAAACAAATGTTTAAAAAACAATCTGAACTTGAGTTTTCTGTTATGAAAGGCTGGTTTCCCCAATTCAGTTCGAAATGCTGGTCTAGAAACCCCCCTGGGATCCCTACACACGGCAGTGGGAGTGAAAGGAGAAATCCTCAGCCCTGCCCTGAGTTTTCAGGGGCTGGGAGGGGGCAAGCTGAGGTCTGTTACTGCACTGGCTGACAATAAAACTTCTCTCTGCTCAGATCTAGCTTGTCGTAATGCCCCAGCCTTGTCCGATAATTTGCATTGAAGTTCAGCAAACTAGGTCTGTAGTTCTTCTATTCCACCATTGTAGGGTTATCAACCAGACCTGGACAGTGCTACCAGAACGCAACCAGTCAACTAATGGGGTGGAGCCTACAGACAGTATCCTGTTCATGATGCCAATTATGTAAATGGGGGAATGGTCCTGCTATTGTGGGGAACTTTCCTGGCTTCTGCACGACCCTGGTGGAATCGGATAGGGAAAGGATCGGAGTCCTCGCTCCAGTTCCCTTTACCCGGAGTTCTAAGAGACAATAGTCTGTAACCCACTAACGCCCCTTTGACTGGAGAGGCATTAACAGGCCACTTAACATGCAATGGTCTCTTATAATAGTTTAGGATTAGGGTGAAAATTGTATTTTTAGTTATATCTGTAAAATAACTTAATTCCTATGAAAATAAACGTAGTTCCAAATGTACTAATAGCAATGACGGAGTCAAATGTTAGCGAGTCACGTACATGATTGTGTTCGACAAACATAAATGCCAAAATAATTAGAAAAATAAATTACTGTTCTTAATAAAAGAGAAAAAAACCTTAATCACATATGTTAAAATTAAGTAATTACATTTTTAGTGGAGTGAAAAACAATTGACTAAAATAGAGGAGATAATGGCAGTAACACAGGGTGTGCCTGTTAGAGAATGCAAGCAGATTCTATTTATTTTTATTTAGTGTACAAAGTACCTGTGTTAAAGAAGTGTTAAACAAGCTATAAGCCAATTAACAACCCCCAGTTTTTTTCCCTTTCCCCTCTATAGCTGATGACATGCTGGGTGTAGAGTTCCATACCACCCTGGGTGCATGTAATCACCTGAGGATCAAGAAGTGCCCAGGCCCTGCAGTCATTGGATTGCACTTTGCTGAGGATCTGGCTATGGGAAAAGCAGCTTCTGAGGATTAATTTAACACCATATTTTGTGTTTATTCATTGATTTTAAAGGCAGGTTAAACCTCTGTGAACATCTGATCTGACCTGCTGCCTAACAGTCCAGAGAATTTTACCCAGTGAGTCCTACATGGACCCCATGGACCCCAGGTTGAACGAGGCCAGATCATGCAGAAAGTCATCGTGTTTGGATGTAAAGATGTGAAATGCTACGGGGGAAAACTGGCCCATATTTCAAGCTTAAATTCTGCAATTTCTACATCTAAGCATAAAACTCAGATCTGCCCTGGCCATGAATTAAGCCCAGGCCTGCTGGATGAGAGACAAGAATTCTCCCACTGAACCACAAGTGTGCAAAATATAAAAAGTGACCTATGCACTATGGGCCCTACCCATTGCCAGAGCCCCCCTCTGCTACAGGGCACAGGGGTGTGGCTGATACTCCTGGGAGTTCTCTGCTTCTGGTCAGACTGGAATTCTTTAGGAATGATATAGAAATTAATGGGTTGAAGTTACATGTGCCCTGTGCCTTTAATGGATTGGCGCAATGGTGAGGAGGTTAAAGGGCACAGAGCTGGGTAGCTGGGTGTGGTCCCTCAAAAGTTGTTGTGCTCTGGTGAGCCGGAGCATGTGTGGGGATTGTGCAAAGTGTGGTGTTTATGTGCATATATAAAATTTAATGAACTGCCATTTTTAAAACACCCATGTCTCGGAATAGAAGAAAAACCTTTTGAAATTGGGTGTATCCTTCATAATCCACAAGATGAGTATGTCCAACAATGCATTATCATAGGGAGTATAGCTTAGTGGTAGAGCATTTGACTACAGATCAGGAGATTCCCTGATTCAAATCCAGGTGCTCCCTGAGAGGGTTTTTTTTTTTTAATGGAAATATATTTTCATATCCATTTCCAGTATGTTCAGGAATTCCACTGAATGGGGATGCTCAAAATGAATTTGAACACTTAACATTTCCCTAGGCACCCGGGGTGTAGTACAGGGCCCGGAACCGCTGCCGGAAGGTTTCGGGGCTGATGTCTAGGGCGTCTAAAATGGCCGCCTTTACCCGGACATAGTCTTGTGCATCCTCCGTGGACAACCCCCGGTAGACCGTTTGTGCCGTCCCTGTCAGGTATGGTGCCAGGAGGGTAGCTCACTGGTCTGGCGCCCACCCAGCAACGTGTGCGACTCTTTCGAAAGTCACTAGGAAGGCCTCAGGTTCATCCTGTGGTCCCATCTTAGTCAGTCTTACAGGCAGGGTGACACGGGGAGCCCCGTCCGGGTCTCCTGGCTGGGGCCCCGCGGGCTGGGGCAGAGCGGTTGCCAACTGTTTTAAACACTGTTGCTGGAACTCCCGGTTTTGCACCGTCAGGTCCTGTATCAGCTGCTGCTGCTGGGCCCCAGCTGCTGGACGAGCTGCTGCTGCTGTTGCTGTTGAAGCTGGGCCGCCTGCTGTCGCTCCTGGCTCTCCGTCAGGAGCGTGAAAAGTTTAGTTAAATCCATGTCTCCTCTGGGGGACCGCTTCCCCCCCGGACCCCTTCTTACAGGGGTCTAGGGCTCATGCCCACATTCTGGGCAAGAGGTCCCCACTTCTGGTACCACGTGTAGTAGGTTTGGGCCGAGGTTCGGTCCTCAGCGGGGCTGTGGGGTGTCCCAGCGCCTCGCTCTGGTCTGGCGGGAGTCCGGGGCAACGGGCACACAGTTAGGGGCTCAGGCCCATAAGCAGGGACTGAGTCCAGAGGTCCAAAACCCAGGCCCTTAAGCAAGGGCTGAGGCAAAGTCTATAGCGGCCCAGGCCCTAAGTCAGGGCGGGGCAGTAATCAAATAGTCAATCAGAGGCCCAGGCCCTTAAGCAGGGGCTGGGTCGGGGTTTGTAGCAGCCCAGGCCCTAGATCAGGGCAGGGCAGCAAGCAAATAGTTAGTGAGATACCCAGCCTAGGGTTACCATATTTTGTGCCTCCAAAAGGAGGACACTCCACGGGGGCCCTGGCCCCGCCCCCAACCCCG